AAAAATTGTCTCTTTACTTGTCAAAATTATGTGGTTTTGATCCAAAAAATTTTGGTGATTTATCAGTAGTCCAATTTCGGATACCTTGTATGGTTTTGGTCCTTATTGTTGGTGTTTTTGTGTGGTTTTGGTACATGCCCCACATGAAATGACAAATATAGTTTTTTTAATTTTGTATTGACAAAATTGCAAAAATGGTACCTATGGTTGACAAAAATCTGTGATTTTGGTCCAAAAACGTATATTGGTGTATAAATTGGTCCAATTTTAGATCCTTTTAGTGTTTTTGGTCCCTATTAGCTTAAAAAGACTATTATGCCCTTATATTTATTTTTTATTCTGTTATATCCCTTTTAACTTATTTTTTTTTTATCATTTTTAATATTTATTCTAATTTATATTTTAATTGTTTTATAATTAAAAATAAAAAAACCCACGATATCCACCCCTTCATCTCTCTTAAGAAATCACTTTCTCTGCCGTCTCTCTCCATTGTGTCACCGGAAAATATCTCATCTCCCACCGTACTTCCTCTCCCTTGTCTCACCGAAAACCACTGTCGGCACTGCTATACTCACCGGTAACCACACCAACTCCATCTATCGATCTTTTCATTACCACATCGAAAACCACCACTAACAACGGCTCATCGCCGCCATACTCGCCGAAAATTACTGCCAACTGAAAAACCCTAGTTCTGTTTCTAAAGATTCTTGAAGCCTAGCTTTGCTTCTGAAAACCCCAACTCCGGTGGTGTTTAGATCTTTATGTTGTTTCCTAGCGACTTTTGAATCTCTTTCATCCATGGCAATCAAGCCCTAGATCCGACAACGTTCGGATGACATTCATATCACATTCGTATCTCCAGCCATGATGAGATCTTCTTGATCTCCATCCATGATCTTGAAGTTATGATGAAGTGGTGTCAGACAAATTAATAATGGGAGGCCGAAGGTGGGTTTCGAATAAAAAGAAAGCTTCACCTTTAAATTTCTATACAAAAATCAGTGAGATTCAAATATGGATTTAAACAGGTTAATCGTGAAATCTCCATATTCATTTTCAGTAGACGACGACAGTGTCCGGCAACCACCATCTGACGGTAGTGGTTGGAGGTTCAGGAGGTCGATGGTAGTGGATGTAAGAGAGATAAAGGCGGGCAGAGTAAAGAGAAGGTGGTTGATGGTCGACGATTGAACTGGCTTTAGAGTTGCAAATCGATGGTCGCCGGCCGTCTGGAGGTTTCCGACTACACTAGATAGTGGTCCAGATTTAGTGTTCATCAGTCGAGAGAATAAAGAGGGCGATGGGATAAGGTGTCGTGGGTGGGATCTTTTTTTTGTTTTTTAATTAAAATAATAGAAAATAATTAAAATAATAATAAAATAATTAAAAGAAATTTAAAAATATATATTTAAAGGCTTTTTCATCATTTCAGGTAAGTAAGTTATGGACCAAAACCACAAAAAATGCCAACTATAGGGACCAAGAGCACACGAGGTATCTAAAATTGGACCACTGATGCAACAAGAAACGTTTTTGGACCAAAGTCACAGGTTTTTGCCAACCACAAGGACCATTTTTGAAATTTTTTTTTTCTTTTGTATTCTTTTGATTACGAGTGGTATAATAGTCTTTTGAATTTGAAAGGGACCAAAACCAATAAAAAAAATTCAATTTTGGACCATTGGATTGTTAGATATTAAAATGTTTGACAGAAGAATATTTATTTTGACCTATTAGTTTTAGGGTTTTTCAAATTTTAAACCCTAAGACTATAAATAGTTTAGGTCGTTTTTTATTTTAGTGAGAGCCTATTTTTCACTTTTAATTTTCGTTTTTCTCATTGACAGAGAAAGTGAGAGTTCATGTTTTTCATATGAGGTTTCTCTATTGTAATTAGATCTGATGATCATATGAATGAAGAAATATTTCACTGATTTCTTGTTTATCTGAGATTGATTCATCTACTGTTCTTAATTTCCGCATTGTCATCTCATATTGTGTGAATCTGGGTTCCTACAATTGGTATCAGAGCTTGATCTTGAACAATATTTGTTCTTTCAAGTTTTAAAGATAAGAGGTGGCATATTTTTGTAGTTGAATCTTTCTCACGAATCTGGTGTAAGTTTTCTAGTCACTCTGTGATTTATACTCGAAAATTTCTATAACTCGAAAATTTCTATATCTACATCAGATCTGAACAATTTGTGAAGAACCCTCTAGGTTTTCTTTTGAAAACGTTTTTTTTTCTTCCTAGATCTATTTTTTCTCACATCTGATCTTCATTCATTCTATTATAAATCCGTTTTTATTGAAGATACAATGTCAGATCTATGTTTTTCTGATGCTTCATTTGCCCTTTGTGAAAACATATTTCCTGATGCATGGCACATTCAAGGATTTCATGAGTATGAAACGTTTACTGCTAATGAAATATATCATCTCATGAAGAATGGTTTGATTACTAAGGAAGTATGTGTACAAGACATGTTTGGAAAGTGGCATTCTATAGAGAGTGACACACTTCTTGTACATGAACCGGATGTAATCCATTTCATAGTTAAAGATAAAGAAGAAAAGAAATGAAAGTGCAACAGAAACAAGAAGTTGTTAAAGATACTCCAAGTTCAGATGAAGATCCCCAAGTAAAAATGGTTGATAAATCCCCAGAAATAGAGAAGGAAAAAAGATGTTGATGATCCATGTTCTCCGAATGTTGTTGAAGATTCCTGCACCAAAGTTCATGATGTTATACCTGAAAAGAAAGAAGATATTATTAAGGTTCTTCATATTGGTGATACATCAAAGAGAATATCTCCTATATTTCATCCAGATCAAGTAGTTGTTTTGAAGGGATGAAACCTTACAGAAAACCAAAAGACAAGGTTTACCAAAATCGAAAATCAGGTGTATCAAGAAGTTGTGAGAACCGTTTCAGGAAGCCTTATGTGTCTTCATGGACCGGAAATTCATTCTACAAGGCAAGATACAAGAAGTTCAAAAAGAAAAAGGAAAAACCTAAGCAAATGTGGGTTCCAAAGAATAGATCCCCTGAACATGAAACCAAGAAAAACACAGAAGTTAGAAGAAGGTCTCATGAGAAGTTTCATGAAAGAAGATATCTGAAAAAGAAGAGTACTCAACAACTTCAGTTTTGGTTGAATGATATGATGAAGTTTCTTAAATCATTTTCCAGAAGTTCAAAGACTCCAGTGATCCATATAATTTTTGAAGATAACATTGTTTGGAGTAATGAGAAGATGTTAAAAGATCCAAAGTTTTTCCAAACCAACTCTCCAACTTTCAAACAATTTTGGGTTCCCAAAGTGTCTTGTTAAATGCCAAAGAAGATTGGAGAGAGAGAGAGAGAGAGAGAGAGAGAGAGAGAGAAAGAGAGAGAGAGAGAGAAAACTTCAAGTTATATTCAAAGCTCTCTTAAAAAAAAGGTATTTTTTAATTTGGTCTGCAATATATAGGGAGATATGGTAGACATTTAAAATTTGAAGGCGTTATTTGGAAATAATATTTATTATATGTGCATGGATCGTATACATGGTGAAGAAGTTCACAAATGATGCCATCAGATTAATCAAAAAAAACGGGGGAGCAAATTTTTGTTAATCTTTCGGTGGGTATAGTCTCAAGCAAAAATAAAGAAAAAGGGAGATATTGTTGGACATGCTGAAACTGATTTTGGCTGAAGCTTTGGTCTTATTGCTTGTTGGTTATTAAATTGGAAGAAATATTGAAATTAAAGATTGCCATCGAGATTTGTTTCAAAAAAAAAAAAAGGGGGGGGGGGTGATGTATGGTTCATTTATGTATCTACGGAGAATAAAGAAACTAAAGAAGACATGGAGAAAATAATTTAAATATTACAAAAGTGATGGCTATTGAAAATATTAAACAAATGGGGTTACAAAGAAAATCAAATGGACATATCGAGCATTATCCATTGATTAAACAATTCAAGATATAAAAGGGTTTGCTTTTATTGATTACCAAGAATGAGAAAGAAGCTTTAAATACTGGCTGCCAACTTTTGTGTATATCCGAGAAACCAACAGATAAGAGTGTAATATTTTACAAAAAAGATCATGGTCAACGTATTGGAAATGCAATGGTACTATTAGAAGCTATGGGTTTTGTATGATGTTGATGTTACAGTAAGTTCAAAGAACAGACAAAAATAGTGAGTTGTCAAAACCCAAGCTTAGGCTGTCGAATTCAAAGCAACAGTAGGAACAAAAGCTGTCATTTTCATTACTTCAATAGGAAAAGTCAAACAAATGACATACTCCTATTTTCAACTCATCAACAGCCGACCCCACCCCCAATTTTGACAAACATCAACCAAGACAACACTGCCACATCACTTTATACAACCACCCACATAGACTTAGCCATGTCACCACAAGTCAAACCTCCATTCTCTTTTGTTCGGTCAAACTGCCAACTCAACACTCATATTTCCTTACCATACCAATCTGGACCCACCTTATAACCCCCACTCAACTCAAAATGTTTTTTTTATTTGGTTGACTACAATTTTGACGCTCAAGTTTCCCTCCCAACCACCTTTAATCCTACAAAATTTACCCTTTAACCCTCTCTTTTTATTAAATTTTTGTATGATTTTTTCACCAAAAATCTTGCTATTATCCAATGGTTCTTCGTTTTCCTTGATGGGTCCGAACCAATACCCAGTGGATTTTAGCTTTACGAAGATTTTATGTTTCCTCGGACAGATTTATTTGAAGACGAAGTGCAAATGTCGAGGGGAGACCGGTGTTTAAAATCGTCAATTTCTTTTATTCATCAGTCTAAACATTTAGGGGAGAATTGTTAGATATTAAAATGTTTGACAGATGAATTTTTATTTTGACCTATTAGTTTTAGGGTTTTTCAAACTTTAAACCCTTGGACTATAAATAGTTTAGGACTATAAATAGTTTAGACCTTCAAGTGAGACACACTCGTCACTCACTAAAGTTGAAATGGCTGCATCGAACTATATTGCACTCCTTAACACTGCGGAACAACCCAAAGAAGTTGGAGTTATAGTTGAATATCTGCAACAATGCCCATTGGCATATGCGCTCCTTTCTACTTCTTCAATTCCTCAATATCTTATCTCAGACGTCGTTCCAACTGCAGTCATCTCCCCAAGAGTAAAGTCAAAACAGTTTGATGTTGAATTTGATCTTTTTCAAACTACATTGGTTCTCCCTAAAGAAGAGTTCTCATCCATTTTAGGTCTACCAGATAATTCAAGTTCACCTAAGACATTCGTCACACCGACTTCTGCTCAACTGTTGACGATGTTCAAAGACATGGGGTACAAATTTGAAGACAACAGTGAACCATGTCTCTCAAGAATTAAGAAATCTTGTCTTCCCACACCGTGGCACTTTCTTACCTCCGTCCTCACTCGATGTCTCTTCGGATCAGTTGGTGGACGCAGCAAAGGTAAAACAGACCTTTGGATTCTTATGTACGGGCTTTTCTATGATGTCAATGTTGACTACACGTCTATTCTTTGGGACGATTTCCTTAACTTTCTCCCGGCCTCAAAGAATAAGTTCCTCATTCATCATCCTCGCTGGTGGTCAATCATTCTTCATAATGTCATCAATAATAGCAATCTTACAATAGATGGGATTCCAGAAGGCCCAAAGCCACAATTCTTGTGTATGACCCTATATAGAATGACAATTGCATCTACATCTGAGTCTTCACATCCAGTCATCATTCCAGATACTATAGTTGCAAAAATAGATGCAAATAGTGCCTCTCTACGTTCATATCAGAAATACATCAAAGGCACTATCTCACCTCCCAAAAAGAAGAGGAAGCACTCAGATCATGCATCCAAGAAGTTGGCTAAAAAGAAAAAGCAATCAAAGTTCGTTCCACAGCCTCCTATTCCATCCCCAGACGTCTCTGATGATAATCAAGAAGCAGAATTAGATAATCCTATATCTTCTCCTAAATCTGGTACAACATCTAAGTCACCCTCTTTCTTAGATTCCTTATTTCACGTTCCACGTGATTATGATGAACCACCCTCATCTGCTCCAGTTTCACCAGCACGCGTTCAGTCGGTTCTAGAAAGTCCAAACCATCGTGCTTCCTTGGGTTATGACTCAATTGATAATGATAACCAAGATGATGATAACCAATCCGACCCTGAAACCTTTCCTCAAGGTTCTCCTTTACAAGATCATCAAGATGAGGATACTCCAATACAGACGGTAGATATCCCTTCCAGTGAAGGACTGATAGTCGATGATGAGACAAGTGACATGTCTATTGTCCTTTACTCCAATGCATCTGCCAAAACCTTCAGCATTGATCTTGATGACTACTCTCCTCCAACTCCAAAAGAGTCTCAAGAAAAGGATGACGTTCAGGACGATGATACTCCTAAAGAAACAGATGAAGCCAATACCACAGAACCACAGTCTGAGCGCATCAGACTTACTGCCCAAATGGTAGCTGATGGTATTGCAGAGATTCGCTTTCACACATCTTCTCACTCTAAATATCTGTAGAACTTTCAAGAGAATCTCAAACGTATGGAAGAAAATATGTGTATCCTCAATGAGAAAACAGAAGCACGGGTCACATCACTTCAAGTCACTATTGAAGACTTTGAAGGCACAGCCGCTTATATCAAAGGACAGGTTGCTCGCAACATGCGGAGGATTGAAACTCTAGAGCAGAAAATTCATAAAACTATTGAAGCCTGTCACTCTCCGATGACTCAGAAGATAGATGACTTCATTCAGTCCTTATCCAATCTAGAGTCCGTGTATGAAGCCAAATTGGATCATATGCATAATCATGTTACTGATCAAGACCGCTATATCTCCACTCTTGAGAAGTCCATTGCTGAACTTTCTAAAGCTTCTGTATCATCCTCCACCTCTCCCTTTCAGGCGTTTAGTGAGTAAATTCAACGTCAATTGGATTTGTTAAGCTCTGACATAGCAAATCTATCCAAATCCAATTCTGAGAAAATAAATAGCTCATCAGGTGAAATATCTTCCCTTCAGAAGACTGTTCAGTTGCTAGTCGATGAAGTCAAGGCTATCAAGCAACAATCTTCCTCTTCAGATCTATGTGCTCTTCAACAAAAGGTTGCATCAACTGATTCCAAACTTGACTTGATCTTAGCAAAGATATCTGGTTCAAATGAGAGTCCACCTGAACCAGAGGGGGAAAAGGTTCACAAGACCAGATCAAGTCAGTCTCCTGTTATACATGATATTCCAGACTCACCAAATGAGTTTGAGAAAAGGAGACAAGAGAGATTAGAGTCACTCGACAAAATGGCCGCTGATGCACGATTAAAAGCTCAACAGAACAGAGGAAAGTTAGCTGAGAAAGAAAAGGAACTTGTTCGACGACAAGGGATCAAAGATCCATCTCTAAAAGTTCCAAGAAGGAAAGATGTTAACTTCTCCAAACATGTTATCATATCAGAACCAATCACTCAACCAAAGCTTCCTCAATTTGATCTCCAGGATAAGGGTAAACAGAAGATTATCTTCAAGTCAAAGAAGGAATTAGCTAAAGAAGCTCAAATACAGATAGAAGAAGAATTGGCTAAGCAACTGAAGGCTAAGGAATTAAAGTCTAAACAAGAGATGCTTCTCAAAAAGAAGTCTGCAGAGATCTCGTCTAAAAAAAGGAGTACATGGCATGATAAAGAATTTAGAGTGTCATCACCTAAAAGAACCATCTTCTTTAACCCTGATAGAGATTCCTATCAAAGGGTAAGGTCATCAAGCCCACAAATTCCTTCAAACCTCCTTCATACCTCACTAAAGAAAACTGGGATATTCCTGCACCCCCGAATGGTATGAAGTTTAACTTATGGCCCAGTGCAATTTATCCAGCTGAGGTTGATTTAGACATTGAAGACCTAAAGAAAAGATTCTTTCTGAAGAAATCAATTCAAGTTGTCCCTGTATGGTCAAAGTTCAAGATTGCTTCAATCAGCAAGATTGACATACGGAAATTTAGAAAAATGCCATATGCATTCTTTCAACGAAGAAGGACAGACAACTCTGAGTTCATGTTTTCTGAATCTGATTTCCCTAGAATAAACCAAGCTGGACCCACCTTATAACCCCACTCAAGTCAAAATGTTTTTTTTATTTGGTTGACTACAATTTTGACGCTCAAGTTTCCCTCCCACTATTTGGTTCACCACCTTTAATCCTACAAAATTTACCCTTTAACCCTCTCTTTTTATTAATTTTTTGTATGATTTTTTCACCAAAAATCTTGCTATTATCCAATGGTTCTTCGTTTTCCTTGATGGGTCCGAACCAATACCCAGTGGATTTTAGCATTACGAAGATTTTATGTTTCCTCGGATAGATTTATTTGAAGACGAAGTGCAAATGTCGAGGGGAGACTGGTGTTTAAAATCGCCAATTCTTTTTATTCATCAGTCTAAACATTTAGGGGGAAATTGTTAGATATTAAAATGTTTGACAGATGAATTTTTATTTTGACCTATTAGTTTTAGGGTTTTTCAAATTTTAAACCCTAGGACTATAAATAGTTTAGGTCGTTTTTTATTTTAGTGAGAGCCTCTTTTTCACTTTTAATTTTCGTTTTTCTCATTGACAGAGAAAGTGAGAGTTCATGTTTTTCATGTGAGGTTTCTCTATTGTAATTAGATCTGATGATCATATGAATGAAGAAATATTTCACTGATTTCTTGTTTATCTAAGATTGATTCATCTACTGTTCTTAAATTTCCACATTGTCATCTAATATTGTGTGAATCTGGGTTCCTACATGGTGCACCATCGGATTTTTTTGTAGCTATATTATACTTCTAGTTTGGAACCTCAATATTGGACCTTAAGGACTTTCATCATTCTAAGTTGCAATTAGAACATGTGTCGTAGGTGTTGTTTGTTTTTTTGTCTGCAGATCTTTGTGACATATTTTGTCTACACCGTACAAACCATAAACAGACATTAGTCTTGTTTGTTTTTTAGAAGACGGCATACCTAAAAAGGTACAAAAGTCTTCTAATTGTAATTGACAAAAAACTGTTGTTTTACCCATGTTTTTGTTTTGATAATGACCTGTGTTTGAGATTTGTTTTTATTTTGGTCTTTCTGGTTGTAAAATGACTTGTTTGCCATAGAAGAAAATTAATCAAAACCGTGTGGTTAAACCCATAAAATAAAATTAACAACCAAAAAACTTCCTAGGTATGAATTTGTACAACAACTTGTTTACAAGAAATCTTCAATGTTTGGTATTTAATTACAAAAGCAATAAAAATCAATACTTCAAGAAATACCGTTCACATATAAACACTACTAAACCTCATAATCAAGCAACAACCCCTCAGTATTTAAATAAATCTAAAGCAATACCAGAAAAAATCTGATTGAGATCTAAGCAATTACTTCGTTTGAATGGATAAAAATATTTCAGAATTAAAATGAAAAGTGAAAATAGATATACACGTTTTTTTTGTCCGCAAATAAGTGTTTTCTAAATGGGCATATACTATTACAATATACTAGTATATTTACAACTTGCTTTTTGTGGGCCAGGTCTAACGCCTGCTTCCTGGTATGCATTTAACTTATCTATTTATTCATTTTGGAAGGGCTACTCGACGAGTTGGTGGCCCTAACTCATCGAGTAGAAGGCAAATTATGCGCGGGTTTTAAGTGAACTACTCGACGAGTCGGGAGTCTCGACTCGACGAGTAGGACTGTCAGGATGAAACCCTAATCTTTAGGGCTTGCACCCTATTTAAGCATCATATCTGGCCTCCACCCCAGCCTCTATCACCTCCAAACCCTAATCTCGAATCCCTAATTAACCTTGAGTGATCTTGAGCTATTTTTGTTTGCCATTTTTGTGATTTAAAGCTAGAAGAAGGAGGCAAAGACTTCGAGTTGTAGGAGGAAGGCTGAAGGATCTAGAGTTTAGGTTACATTTCTGTCTTGATAGAGGTATAAAGCTTATACCTTGGCTCATATTCTCTTAGATCTTCATTTGAGCTTGTATATTGTCACTTTTGGGCCATTTCCAAGGTCATTTCTGAGGTTTGAACCCTTGGTGGTGTAAGGACTTCAGATCGGGCACTCTTGAGCTTTAGAAGCTCAAAGTTGCCACCTTTATTCAGTCATGGCCCTATTCCATGACTTAGACCTCCATTTTTAGCTTGTGGTGGGTGTTTTAGCTTCATAACACCATGCATGCACGTAAAGTTAGCAACTTTACATGTAATGCTAGTCTAAGGAGTCCAAATCTATGAGTTGGAGGCGTTGGAATTGATTAGAATCGATTGTATGGATTTGACATATGGGGGACTCGACGAGTTGTTTATGCGAATCGGCGAGTCGGGTCGTGGTCTCCCAACCTTTTCTCGTTTTTTGAGTGAACTCGTTGAGTTTAGAAAATGACTCATCAAGATGGATATGATTAGGACTCGGAGACCGAAAAACTCAGCGAGTCCAAGGAGGGACTCGACGAGTGGACTCGTTTTGTCCCAATTCTATACAAGATAGAACTCGACGAGTTGACTCAGTTTATCACGAGACTAGATAGCATAGAACTCGACGAGTTAGGAGATAACCCGACGAGTTGGGTTGACTGGGAGTTGACCTTGACTTTGACCTTGTTAGAACGATGACTTTGACCAAGGGTAAAATGGTCAATTTTATTGGGTTTTTGAGCATTCTAACACTCCTCAGTGTACATGCAACCCTAAATACCTTGGATCTATGTTTTCTCTATTATACATGCAAATATGAATATTCCAAGGTATTATCCTAACTGGCATACAAAACATTGATTCATATGGAATAATATAAGTTAGAAGACATACCTTTTGATGTAGCTTGATTCCATGGAGCTTAAGAGCCTAGTGCCCCATGTGTGACACCTCAAATGGTTCACACAACATCAAATGCACTTGGAATAACTTAGAGACAAATGAACACTTCATGAAATCGGCTAGCCCTCACCATACACACATAGTGCCCGATTTTGTCAAGAATATGATGCTTATATAGTGTGTCACAATTAGGGTTACACCATGTAAACCCTAATTGTCATGGCCTTTCATTTCCATGATCCATGGGTACAAAAACACCATGGAGCATCCATGGAGCATCCATGGAGCATCCTATGGGTTTTAGCCCAACTTGATAATCCATGGAGCATTATCCCACTATACAAGTATGGATGATTTACACAATCAACCCATATATTTAATTAGTCTCCTTTTGATCACTTAATTAATTCCAAATTAATTCTTGATCAATACTAGTTAAATAATCTTATTAATATATTAGAGCTTATAATATATTAATAAACCTTAAGTGTTATTTCTCTCATTTTAGTCTATCCAAATGCATGATGCCATGCAACCCAAATGGACCATACCAATCGGGTCAAGTACATACCAAATATAGTTATGGACTTAGATACTAATCCAACAGTCTCCCACTTGGATAAGTCTAAAACTATTTATTGTGTATGACTTCAAAACCCGACTAGC